CTGACCACCTGGGCCGATACCCTCGAGGTGATCGGAACCAGCCCGGGGTGGAGAGCTTCAGAGCGCTTGGGTGGTTGCCATAACCCTTAAGGTCAGAACATGACCTCAACAAGTAAAGGGAAGTTGTTGAGATCATACAACAAGCAAGTTGATCGTACAACAAGTAGGTAAAAACTTGTAGGTCAAAAGGGAGTTGATCATACAAAACGTAAACCACTCGATGTCCAGCGAAGTTCCCAGATTATTCTCCACTCTCGCCCACCGAATTGGTGTCGCAAGCACGCCGTTGGTGAAGTATAAACAGGAAGCAAACGCTCCGCCACCAACCCCGCGCCCCAAACGCCCCAAACGCCCCACGTGTGCCACTGGGTCTCCCACCTGGTGCAGGCGGAAGCCCAAGGACCTGGGCCCGGTGGCCATTCGAGATTGGCACCTTCTTAGGGCTTGGCCAAACACGTCCTGAACATAGAGGAATCTGTGCATTTGATCCGCGGTGAAAAAGGTGGCGGGGCGCCATGTCCCAGAGCCACATCATCTACTAGGGTCCACCTTTCTATAGAAGTTGCACCAAAACCAGGGAGATGAAAACACCGAAAAAAAAGGGACCAAACTGTGGTGCACCCCAACTTGTAGAGCTCACAGGTTCGATCAACTCCCTTGCAAACAGCTACTTGGGGAGTCTCGGGAAACAGTCAAACTGATGTTGCCTTGCAAGGCTTTCTATGTGAGGCAACAAAAATATCCTAGTTAGTTAGTCGAGTTGTCCACTTTCTGCCTTGTTAGTTTCTTGTGACCGTATCTGAAAAACTAACAGAATTGAACAGAATACGTTCACAAGACAGATCTGAAAAACTAACTGTTTCATTGAGAACAGAATTGAGCTCTGAAAAAAAGTGTCATCTCACATCTGCTGCTTCGGTTGTATAACCCGTCTGTTTGCACAGACGGAAGGGGCACAGCCCGTTCAAGGCACAGCCCGGCCGAAAAAAAACTCGAATGCCGGGTGTGGGACATTTCCGGAACATCAGCCCCATATAAAAACCCACACAAAATGAACAATCAAACAAAAGAGTCAAGAGTCAATGCCTGTCATAGTCCATCTCTACATGACTTATAGGACTTCATCCCATCGCTTTCGATGCAGTTCCTCGTTTCGACCAAGACCTTGTGAATGTGAAAAGCCCGTTCGACAACAGACCTCGTTCGCTTCGTGAGCCCACAGGCTTCATGGACGCTCAAAGGACAAGCTGCTCTTCTGTAGCATGCTCTTTGAAGCTCCTGGAGAAAAAGAACCACTGATGGCAAATAGAACTATACCAACCCCTTTCAAGACTGTGGGCTCGATTCCCAAATGGTGATTAATGGTATGGCTTTGCCAAAAATGGCCTTTGGCATATTGCCGAGAACCGCATGTGAAGGCTGAGTTGGTGGAAATGAATCTAGTCACGCTGGAAGAAAGAACCTCTTGCAGTAAGATGTCCCAGAGAGATTGGGATGGTTCTCTGGACCTCCAACGTGCACCAAATCCCCATCCTCTAAACCATCCAGCAAGCACCTGTGGTTTCCGGTGCCCAACCATGTCCTGGGTGGGACATCCTCTGGCTTCTCTGGCTCTTGCCGCTTCTTGCACATGCCTCCGAGACCGGGACGGCACTCCGCCGGTCCGCTGTCTCTCATCGTGACTGCGGACCAAAAGAGGGGACCCAAGACTCTGGGAGGTCTTAACTTTCTGACTGGCTAAACATGTAACAGGCCAGTTTTAGGGGTTGAGTTTTTTTACAGTTTTGTTATGGTTTTGATATGGCCAGTCTTAATCTTAACTTAAGTCTTGAACTCCCTGAATCATCGTGGTTATGTGGATGGCATGGCCCGAAAGGATGACCACGTTAATACCAGACAGCTGGTGAACTTACTCCACTTCTATGATTTGTTCAGGGAGTGTACCCGGGTCATGATGAACCGATGATGGATGTTTGTTCCACCTTCCACTAGACCAACCTACCCTCAGAAACCCGCGGGTTACCCGGCATGATAACGGCAAAGAGCTTCCGGGAAGACAACTGCTCCCTCCCGGACTGCCTTCCGGGAAGACCAATTACAAAAAATAGAAACGAAGCTGGTTTTGTCGTGTAGAATCCTTCGTCAAATAATGATGCTTCGGGATTCAGGCTCTCAATCAACGGCGGGCCAGGAAGCCAAACAGGAAGGTTTGCGGTTCTTGGGGCTGGGCAAAAATACAGAGAAAACAGGAGGAGGTTCACCTGCCATTGTCTGGAATTGATTTTGTTCTGACAGACATACCCATCGTGCGTCTTCTGAAAACTGCGGGGTTTTCCGTGCACGGGTTTTTTGTGCATCTCCACAAAGACGAGCATTTGGGCTAAGTACATCTAAGTACAGCATTCAGGTGTTGCCAGAGCGAGGTTTGCACTGCGAGGTTTGCACACTGCGCGAGAAACGAAGACGATGCTTGCTGTTGAGTGAACAGCAAGTCCCGATAAAGAATAGTCTAGAGAGAAGCTAAAGTTTCACACACCCATGGGAATCGCCACCAACTTCTGGAGAGAACAAGCCAGCAAACTGAGGGTTAGCTAAGCTGTCGAAGTATATCTAATGAATCCAATCGGAGTGGTTGGATTACAGATCCTGACGACGGTGACAAGAATTCTGACTGACACCACACCCGGACCCATTCAACATCCTATCTGAGGTGTCGTCCACCGTCCGCACCATGGGCCCCTCCTCTTCAGATAAATAAACGCAAGCACATGTGTCTTCTTCGAGGAACCATGGTCCTGGTTCACTTCTGCTTCATAGGTCCATCTGATCACGTCGTCGTCTTGGGTTCGGAGACCCGGACTCGAACACTGACCATGGACCCAGACAAGAACGAACGGCTCCGTGGAAGAGTGTTTTCCTCCAAAATATCACAACCAGTGGTGTTTCACAGGGTCCATCAGGGATCGTCGGTCAGCGGGGTGCATTCCATCTTCCGTCTGGTGTTCTGCGCATGACCACGGAAGACAGCAGCGACTTGGCGTCTTGGCGTCTTCCCAGCGGTGCCCCAGCCGTTCCCTTTCAACGGGTTCCGCTCGAAACGTCACAGGTGGCCGGACCCATTTCTGTCTTGGCCATGGTGCTCCAATCCACCCTGGCCACTGACGGTCACGTGAAGCGCCGGCAGGGAGAGGCTGAAGAAGACCGCAAAAGGCGAAGGAGGTTGCTTTGGGGGTTGGATCGCCTCAAACAGCTATATATATATAATATATATATATAATATATATATATATGTGTCATGCATTGTCATGCTCATTTGGTCGACCTCATAAGGCCTGGTCGACCTCCTGGTCGACCTTGCGAGGTGTTCCTTCTTTCTTTGGCGTCGAAGCGACCCGTCGTGCGAACTCCCGCGAAGAACGAACGGTGCGAACGTGGGTCGAAACGCACCACGTGTCGTGCAGCGTTTCGGTCGAACTGACGTACCACGAGTCTCGAGCGTTTCGTGGGTGATTCGTCCAGGGTTTGTGGGGAGTGAAGCCGTGAACTCGGCGGGACCAGATGCTGCTCCCAAGCGAAGAGTGGAACTTGGGACCCAAAGGTGTAGAACAAAAAGATACCAAAGGCATTCAAAAGCACTGCTTCCAAAATCAGAGCTTTTGGGTTGCTTTTTGGCTTCAGCCGTCAGTGTTCGGTCGACGTTGACCTCTTTCTGAGAGACCTCACTGCTTCGAGTTACCAGGAGGCACCCAACCGCCCCACCTGGGCACACATATTGGCCTCTGGCCCCGATCGTCGCGTTCGCCACCCCGAAACGTGCCGCCGCGTCACGACACTTGCGTGCCCTTCAACTCAAAGCGGCGCAGCTTCTGGTAGGCAGCCTACGAAGCGCGAAGCGTGCGGGTCACCAACGGGTCACCTTCGGGTCACTGGTGAAGCAGGCAGGAAAGTCGCAGGTGGTGTGACCGAATGAGCCTGGAACCTGGGGTAATAGCTGAAGAGGTGATTGATGGCCTAAGGCCACTCATCAAGGCTATCCCTGCCCCAGAGGCATATCACAGGAAGTGAGCAGCAAAAGGTGGCACTGAATGTTCTGAGATGTGGATGATGTGTGCATGTGGTTTCAATACGTTCTCCATTTATCTCCAATTGTATGTACCATTCGTGTGTTTTCCCAATGATCCCAATTAGAATCAATGGTAATCAACTAAGATTAATGTGTTTTGATTTGTACAGTGGAGATCTTGCCAATAGTAGCCTTTCAATTGAGCTCCATAAGCTCGAGAATGAACACAAAAAGGAAAAAAAAACACATCCTGCTTCAGGGAGCTGGCTCGAGTATGAGTTTCCAAGGACTTCTCACGCTTCCAAAGGCCCAATTCTAACCACGCCGGCTCCAAACTGATCCTTCCATGGCTGCCTCATCCGAACAAAAAAGACGGCCCCATCAGCCTATCAGCTGTTGTATCTCACCCCCTCGCCACACAGCACTCACATGGCCGTCACATGGCCCGTGGGCACCTCAGCACCGTCCTTTAGAGCCATCTCCACCAGGCACACACCCTGGGTGGCTCTGCCGGTGCCGACTCGCTCGCTCGACCGAAACCAAGGCGTTGGCTGGGGCGGTCGACTGGAGGAGTGGAGCCACAAATGGCGATGTCCAGACGATGGCTGGATGTGAGGATCTCTGGGTCGGTCCAAGTTTCAGAAAGGAGAAACATCTCGGGCAGAACCAAAGTCTGTGTTCCGTAAGTCTGATTTTTGAGCTATTGCCAGCTCAATCACTGCTGTTTTTTGCAGCTGGTGGCCTTTTCGATCATCACCAGCCATAGAAATCCATAGATCAATAGATCTCTAACTTTGTGGCTATTAGCCTATGTGTGGGTGACTCATGTCCATTCATTCTCTATAGCTATAGTAAATTCTATATTGGCCCCCCTTCATGCGCGTGAATTCCTTCCTCTACCCCTCTTGCTTCGGTTTCCTCTTCCTCCGCTCCCTTTTCACCGGCACAAGGCTGCAGCAGCAGCTCCCAACAAGCCCAAAAGGCAACCCGTTGTGGAGGAGAGGCCAGCCTGGGGTGCGGAGGACTCTGAAACAAGCAAGCAAGTACCATGAGACAGGTGACAAATGAAATAAATCATGTTCCTTTCCCTCAGAATCCGGGCCCTCAAAAACTTAGGGTTTTGAGGGTCCAAACCCCTGCGAAGGTGTCGGGTCCGACCCCTGCCATGGACAGCCCAAGGATTCTTAGGGTTCACTCATAATGATCATTCCCTGGTCCTTTCAAGTGACCCCCAAAAAAGATGACAAACGGAGTACGGCTCAAATTGTAGTCCCAGTGACCCTCAGTGAAGATTGTCTCCAAAACAATCCACCCAAGTCATTGGCAAACCACCCAAACCCAACTTGAATCCGCCAACCAACCAACCAACCAACCAACTGACCAACAACCAACTTGAATCTGCGGCCACCCCAAAGTCCTTGTCTCGTTTTCACCTGTCTTCGCCCCCGGCCTGCACTCCCGCCGCCGCACCCAAGCCGCCCGCCGTCGCCAGGCTGCCGCAGGTCCAGCTCAGTGGCCAGCCGCTGGGCGCCGCGCGCTGAAAGGCACGCACCGAAGCATCCAGCTCCTCCAAGGTGCCTTCAAAGGTCGGAAGATGCCCGGGCCACGTGGAAAAAGGGGCGGTTCCACTTTACGAGCCTATTTCAGGTGCCCGAGGTGCCCGAGGCGAACCCAAATCCCCCGACCTGGAGAGATACTTCTCTTCAGTTCTTGGCCCCCCTTACTTCCCTCGTTCTCTCAGAGAAGTCGTCTCTTTTTCGATCCCAAAAACATCGGGCCACGGTGTGGAGCTTCACATTCGGTCCAGGTACTACCTGCAATCCGGGTGAGCGCAGTGAGCGTTGTTGTCCAGTCCAGTCGGTCGGACGTGTGGAATGAAAAACCGATGGAGCCAGCTATGGAATGTTGCAAAACGGGGGTGGACGTTCTTCAAGAAGGAACACACTACCTCTCTTATAGTGGAATGCAGCTCGGGGGCCACTCCAACAAACATGGACCAAGCACGGAGGGACCCAGGGGAAACCCAAACACTTCCAAAACCAAAGGAAAACCTGGATGATCAGGGTGAAGACAGTGATCATCCTGGGTAGAATTCCTGGGCCACTATTGATTGAATGGTTCTGACCGAACAACCCTTGTGCACACGGGTTATTTAAAAAAAAAAAAAAACACACGACAACCAGGTCAACCTTTTTGTCTTTGGTCTTTGAAGGCTAGGGTAGTGGCTGCCTGGGATGTTCCTTTTCATGACTCCATCACCAGGTCGCCATTGTTCTCAATGACCATATCGGCCAACTTCCGCTGCTCCGCCACCGACAGCTGCGAAGCGATCTTCTTCTCCGCCTCCAAATGACGGCTTTGAGGATTGAAGTGGCCAAACGTCCTCCCAATTCTGCTCATTCTACCAGAAGCCTCAGAAGACTGATCTGGTGTTTTCTGGCTAAAATATGCCCCAGCGTCAGGTCACCATGTGGATTCGTGTTCTTTCAAAAACCAAACGAGAGCCAGAGGAAAAAAACAAACCAGAACCAAAGAAAATATCAGCTCGAGCTCGAACAAACCCAAAGTCGCCAACCTTTTCCTATAGCAGGTCCATGATTTTCCGACCCATTCCTGGGCACATCAGAATATACGCCTGGAACACCAAAAACCAGAGCTGTTATCATGTTCGCACTCATGAAAAAATCACCTCCGGGCACATCAGACCCTCCCCCCACCGTTTGAAACATCGCTTCCGAACCGAGACCTGCACAACTCGCCTGGCGCGTTTGGTCCCGGAGATCCTTCCCCCCACCGGTTGCGACCCGGAGCATGGAGACCCAGACCGCGAGCGACCGTGAGTCCACCGGCGATGGATGCCACCGCGGACGCTCGGTCGTGTTTTTGTTTCGATGCACACGGCGATTCGCGACGTGTTCGCGGCGATTCGAATGGACTTTGTTGAGGGAGATCCGAAGTCTGAAGTGTCAGCTTTTCTTTCAGAGACGTGTTCGCGATTGGTGGGTTTGGGGAGTGGATTCTAGAAAACAGATCCATGGTCGCAAGACCCGGAACATTCTTCGACCCGGAACATTCTTCGTCCTGACTATGGCGCAGCTCCAACATCAACCAGTTCCTCACTCCCGAAGTTCAAAGAAGAAAAACAACAGCCTAGGGCCTCGCAGCTATGGGGCAAAACCCCAAAACCCCCAACAGCTTCGCTCTCTTGAGTGGAACCAATGGAGCTCACCACACCACTCACCACCTTCCACGGCCCAGTCCGAGCCCGGCGGCCCGGCGGCCCCAGTCCGAGCCGGCACAGTCTCGTCGCTCGGCCTCTTCTTGGGTGAGCCCGTTGCGCGACATGAGCCTGGCCAGCTGCACCTCGGGCGACCTCGGTGCGCTGAACGGAAAGCAAGGAGAGCAGCTGGGACCGGTCCTAAAAGAAACAAGGAGAGCAAGGCACCAGCACCACACAGTTCAATCAGTGGGGTCTAGAAACCACCCCAAAGAGGGTGGTGCTGGCAGGGATTGTGCTGGGACATGTTGGGACCAGTCCCAACGCTCTTCTTCATGGGGAATGCGCGCGTGACACAAGCATGTTGTTAGGCAAATATGTCAGAATCACACCCCTGAGCGGGTCAGAGCGGCTTCACCACCTCCAGTTGATGCAGTTGGACAACAACTAGGATTTTTGGTTTGAAGAGTCTACGTATGCGACCCCCACTGATTGAAGTCCTTCTAAGAGCTGTATGTCATGTCACGATGTCTATCTACATGCTTGCCTTTCTCGCTTGTTCGCTTGGCTTCATGTGACTTGTAACCAGTTCCACGAGGTGTCCGACTCCCATCTTCGGATGGCCTGGAGTCGCACAACCACGCAGACTCTTGATAGCTTGATTCCACACACCCCATGTTCGCCCATGTTCGCCATGGACGAAGCGTCTTCCAACGTCTTGCGCTCCCAACAGCCGCCCAACACAAGTGAGGAAAGCGGACCCAACACAGTCGACTTGATCTGAGACCATGGAGTCGCCCCATTATGCTGAACTTGGTTGGTTTTTGGGATGAGAAGGCCGAAATGTTGCACAGTTGGAAGATCCAGGTGGAGGTTCAAAAGACTCGACCTGGAAAATGGGAAACGGCGCGAAACGGCACTTCAGGGAGCTTGAAGGCTATGGCTCTGGTTAACCGCACGGTTTCGCATCCCAAAGATGCGAAGCAATTCCGGACGGTGCTTGGAGCGAGCACCGGTGCTTGGAGCGTAGAGCTTTGCTCCCCACCTCACCCTCAAACCAATGCCAAACACCCACTTCCAAATTCGAACCGCCCGAATCGACCCGAACAGTCCTTAACGATGTCCAAGGAGCAGCACGACCACCAAGACCGCCGACAGGCAGAGACGTCGGAGCAACGGGAACTTCAGCAAGAGTGGCACGTCCAACACGATCGTCCCATGACCTCGGACGCTTCGACCCTCCGGGGCTTCGGAGAAGTCTGGTCTTTGGGTCGGCGGAAAGACCCAAGCAAGTCGGCATGGGTGTCCAGTCCCTTAGTTTTTAGTTCTTTGGAACTGTTCCCCCCCCTTGAGGTGGTTTTTGCCTGTAGGCATCTGTGAGTTGAATGTGGATGTCTGGATGTCATACCTCCGAAGAAAATCCAACCAAAACCCCCCAAGATCTCCCTGATCACTTCCCTCCATCTCAGTCTCCCAGTCTTCATCTCAGTCTCCCAGCCCTTCCAGCACCTTGCCCCCCACACCCACCGCCTTGCAACATGAAAGCCAGGGTCTTCTGCAGAATGGCCCACAGAATGGCCATGTGCGTCGCCTTCGATCCCGAACCCGCCGGAACCCGGCCACGGGGCGGTGGCGGTGCAGGTTTTTTTTGTGCGGCACTAAGAGTCCAATCACCCTTGATGCTCATACCAATCCGGAACAACCCTTGCTTTGAGGATTTCACACCAAAACGAGGTCAACTCCACACCCCACAAGGGGAGAACAAGAACCACGAAAATCCGCAGGTGGTGTGTGACAAGCAGAAGCCAGTTCATTCACCCTGGTTTGGGGGGAAAGAAATCGGAGTTGATCAGCTTTCGGGTTGAACACTCGAACTCCGATGCATGTTTTCCCACGCAAAGCTGCTGGGCAAAGAAGCATGATTTCTTCACCTCTGAGTCCTCCCTTCTTCACACTTCTGTTGGGTCCAAAAATGAAACAATAGGCCATCGCCCACCGCTAGTAGGTTGGAGGCCATCGCTTCTAGTTAACCTGTTTTTCACGGTGTTTTTTTCCATTGCTTTGCAAGCCTTGCGGACCAGGCACCTGGTCCAGCTTCCTTCGCTTTCGAGGATCACCAAAGACGATCTTTCCTCGCACCGTGCGTGCGATCGGAAGGACGCAGGATGAGGCCATGCATGATGAGGTATGAAAAAACGATTCATGATGAGTGTGCACATGGCACTAAGATAGTGCAAACGGTTAGTGCAAAGAAACATCAAATTGTACTGCGTTCCTGTGTGCGGAGGAAAACCTGTGTAAGGTTCCCCTGTCATTGAGAATAAGTGAGCGGGATAAATCTAAAATATACGACATGTTACAGGTAAAATTCGATCAAAACATCTTAAAAGTTGAAACTCGAGATTCTGTCGATCATGCCAAAACAATGAGAAGTGGTTCAATGTGTTTTGAGAAAATCTCCATCTGCGAGAACTCCCAGTCAGCCCCAGCTGTTTCCAGCCTACAACTGACAGGTTTGAAATCTGGATGTTCACCACTTGAAATTGTCTAAAATCGAAGGATTGCACTTCCGCTGGTGTCGTTGCTCCATCGCATTTTTTTGTTCGATGGGTGACCTGTTTGAGTTGTTTGTCAGCGACGGACGACCACTGTGCATCTATGCCCCGCAAGAGACCCACATGGAACGTAAAAAACACGGTGGTGGCAGTGGTGGGTGGAGGTCTTGGTGAAGGTGTTGCTGGTGGTGGACGATGATGATGATGGTGGTGGAGATGGTGGTGATGATGGCGACTGATGGTGGTGATGAAGGTGGTGATGAAGGTAATAATGAAGGTGGTGATGAAGGTGGTGATAAAGGTGGTGATGGTGGAGGTTCAAAAGCCAGCTGTAAGCTTAGAAGAGGGTCTAGGCCCCGAGTTCGAAAGGTCTAGAGTCTAGAGGTACAAAGCTGTGCCTCCCACGACATCTGCACTTCAAGGCCCACCACGAAATCTGCACTCCAGTACAGCGCCTGCCACAAAATCTGCACCTCAAGGTCCGCAAAGTGTTACGCCTGCCTCGAAATCCACATGTCAAGGTCCACAAAGTGTTGTGCCTGTTGAGAAATCTGCACTTCAAGGTTCACAAAGCCCACGAACTCTGCACTTCAAGGTTCACAAAGTGCTGCCCTGCCACAAAATCTGCACTTCAAGGTCCACAAAGTACTGCGCCACGAAATCCACACGTCAAGGTCCACAAAGTGTTGCTCCTGCCACGGAATCTGCATCTCAAGGTCCACAAAGTACTGCGCCTGCCATGAAATCTGCACATCAAGATTCACATTGCGCAGCCCTGCCAAGGTGATTCGCAGCAAGAGCCAAATACGCAGCTTTCGCTTGAGACGTCCTCCGACTTTTGAAAACAAACAACGTGTCCAAAAGTCACGATTCACTCCACCTGTGACGAAGTGAGAGCAGGGAAGACCACCCCCCAAAGTCACGCACCTGCCACGAGATCTGCACATCGACATAAAACACTCCGATCTCCGGCGCCTGTCACGAAAAGTCGACTTTAGACCACCAAACCACGGGGTTTCCCTTGCGCATGCCACGAAAAGTGATCACCAAGTCAGAAAATCTGCACGGAACCACAACGAGAGCGAGCCAGCGCAGTGGTGGAAATACACTTCGAAGATCTCGAGGTGAATGCGCTGTAAATAGCAGCGAATTAGCCAAACGCGCCGACGAGAACCTCCCGTCCTTAACACCTACCGTAAGGAACCCCTAGTGTTACCACACGCATCACAAGGACTCCTTCACCATCCAAAGAGCCGCACAGAGTCGCCTTTCACGGCGCCTTCTCATCGCGCGCCATCCGTGGACCGTGCGCGTCGGTGGCTCACCCGCTCTTCACTTCAAGTCTCCCAGCTTTTCACGGTCGATGGCGCCATCCGTCAGGACCTCTTGGCCAAACTCCGCCACCACGCGCCGGTGCACGCGGCCTGTCCACGCAAGGCCGGCGGGTTGCAAACCGGCCGAGGGAGCAAACCGCGAGTATTGATCAGGCGGAGAATCCGCTGGTGCACTCGGCCAAGGCAACGAAGAGGACACTTCGGGGGGTTCGCCATCGCTAGCATATGTGTATATATATATATATATGCAAATATAGGATTCGAGCAACCTGTGTTTTAATGGTCTTTGCCAAAGAACCATTGTTTTACTAAGGATTTTTACACTACTACACCATCCGGTCAACCATTCTGTTCATGGTCTTTGAAGGCTAGGGTTATAAATATTAATCTCTATATGGTTTATGTTTAATATCAATATATCATCGATAATATCTATAGAGAGAGAGAGGTGTCTGCGAAGTCATCCAAAAGCACCACACAGCCACACAGCCATCCAAAGCGGACTGGGTTTTTCGGAAACGGTTGGGAACCTCCGGGACTGTTCGATGGGTCATGGCAGTCATGCTTGTGAGAATGACGTGGGGATGAGTCAACCAACCAAAGTGGCTGTGCGGATCTGTTCGGTATATGTGTTTGCCGATGTGTTCGGTAGAAGCGAAGCACCCCCTCAAAACATCACCACTTGGGTGGCCGAATGGTGGACTCGTGGTTTGGAGGATTCCTTCGGATCGATGGTGGACCAATGTGGACTTCATCCGATCTTGGCTCAAAGAAAAAGAGATCTCTGATCCTCCATAGACCCGGGAACCTTGGAGCTTGGGGGGCTTGGACCCTGGAACCTCCAGGTCCCGCATGAACATCCAAGTCAAATGCAAGCCCCGGTCCATGAAAGTGCCTGGCGCAAGGCTGCCCACAAGACACCAGACCCCAGCCTGCGCGATCAGAAAGCAGCTCATGGGCAATCTTGTCAGCATCCACCACGGGCCAGCCTGACAGCAAGTCAGGGAACTTCAAGCCCGGATGAGTACAAAGTCTCTGGGATGGTCAGGGGTGCTTTTTTCCTCCAGCACTTTCCTTTTGAAACCAACCAGGTACGCTCGGACCTTGCTTTCAGATGCTGTCAGGATTTCGTGAAAGACGTGTCTGCGGAACAGCTCACGTCTCCACAGATCTGGTTTGTGCCCAAGCAGATTGATTGGCAACCCCAGATTCTACACGCGACTGGACCCGCTACGTGGTTAGAGAACCATCATGTCTTTCAGATGTGAAAGCCCTACAGCCTGGCGCAAGCCCCATGTTGGCTCCACAATTCCAGGAACTACTTATGAGTCATGAGCAACCCTCACCCTGGTTTTGTAGTGCAAAATCATTGAGTAACTGGTAGGCCAGCACCTCAGGCGCCTCAAAACCCGGCTCCTCCCACCAACCCCGCCAGCACCCCGGCCATCCCACACCCCACCTCCTGCAGCCAGCCGTTCGCTCACCGTCGACTTGCCACAGGCAATGGGACCCGTCAGCCCCAACAGCCGCACCATGCAGACGACGCGAGCCGAGCAACGGCGGACGGCTGTTCCCGTTCCGCCCGGGTGACGCGGCTCGCGGTCGCGTGGGGACTGTGGCTGTCGACCGTCTGTGTGGCGTGAAGCTGCGCAAGAGCCGATTGGGTTCAGCCGAGTCCCTGAGCCCCTGGAGAGGGGGTGAGTTGTGGGTCCTTGGAGCTGCTCGTTGGCTCGTTTGGGGTGGTGAACAGGCGTCGGACCGGACCGGTCGGTGTTCGAAGCTGGAAAGGCCAAATCATCCGCACCGTGACTATAGCGTGTTGTTTCTGCCCGATGGTCGACGTGGGAAATACCTAGAAAAGATCTTGGAAAAGTCATGAGTGGTCTGTGCGTCCGTGCGCATGTTCTCCGTGCTGTCATGGTGGTAGGTGCTCAGAATCTAGGAGCGCAGAAAGCCGCAAAGGAGAAGCTGCGGGAAGACCATATCCTTGCAGCATATGGTAGAAGCAGTGTTCACTTCCGAAGATCTCGCACGACGTGGTCGTTTCAAGGGGGGCTCAATCCCAGGTCCGGCATGTTGGTTCCTTTCCCCACTTGAGCTGTCTGAACATCAACCATTCCCACAAGACCAAGAGAGCCACGCCCCACGTCCCCGCAAGGAGCTCCCTCCCTCCCGCATCGCCCGTGTTTCGCTCGGCTAAGGCACGGACCGGTGGATTGGTCATCTTCACGTGCCTCACCCGTCCGTGCCTGGGCGCCGCATCGCTTCGCATCGCTTCGCAGCGTCCCAAGGAACAGGGATCCACTGCAGAGCGGGGGAGCGGGGAGGTTTGAGGGACCGGACTCAGTGCCATCACCAGACTCAGTGCTACTGGATTCGATTCATTTCGCAGGCCAAAAAGGAACTGAGGCTCCCCTCACCGCCAGCGCTTGTGAGACATCGGTCTCTTTGATGCCTGCAGACATCGACGACCCCGCCAGCTCTCGCCCCGTCGCACCGCCGAGTCAACGGCCGAGTCAACGGCCGGAGCGCGTCCGCCGTCCGCCTAGGCCGATGGGGGCGATGACCAGCTCCCAGCCTCAGTCGAGTCGGGCTCGGTTCCGCGGCGACTGCTTCACGTCCCGAAGGTGGACGAGTTCTGGAAGCCCCGCAGCTAGTAGATTGGGAAAATGAATGGGAAATGAATGGGCTACTCTGCTTGTGTTTGAATAGCTACCAGTTTTTTGCAAGAGTTCTGTTATCTGATACGTCCAGGCACACGATATCCACTTGACACAGACCAATGGATGCGGGGTCGCACCCAGACACTTGGAATAGCCTCTGGAAAGAACAAATCTGAACCATTCTGATGCCAATAGAACCCAAGATGAGTCTCACCAAACCCACTCTGGCTGTTCCATCTCCAGCCGCTGCAGGAGGTCATCGCCATCCTGACCGGCGGGGCTCCCCGGCCGCAGGAAGGCTTTGGTTGAAGATTGGCTTCCAAGAGCGACAACCTCAGCTGGGGCGTCTGTCGGACCACCCGATCTACCCAGGTCGCCGCTGGTGGATGAGTCTGCTTGCGGTCATGAGTCATGCAGCTCCAAATCCCAAACACTCCGACTGCCAGATTGACCTACATTGACCACGACTTCAACCACCCCAATCTATGTAAATCTGCCGCACCAGTAGTTCATAGTAGTTCCAAAGGGGTGCCGAACTTGCCCCACGCCACCTGTCTCCGACTTTGATCCTTTCTCCGCCAGCTCCAGAATTAGGAGCTCAACAGTCACACCCACGGCGTTTCAAGCCATCTTTGAATCAGTCATGAATTTGAATCAGTCTCTGCTTGTCATCTTCAGTCTGGTTTCGCTCGCAGAATCCAACCAAAGAATCGATGGAGATTCTGAAGAACTGACTGGTGCGACGAAAGCAGGGTGGCTGAGGGTGGCTGGATCCAATAGAATCTCTAAACAGGGGGCTCATTGCCTTATTCCCTGCTTTCGTCGCACCAGTCAGTTCTTCAGAATCAACCTGGAGCTGGTCCAAAAGATGGCCTCCCGCGAACCGGATCGCTCCCCTCGGTCGGTCGCTCCGCTGGGCCGTACAGGCTCCGAAGACCCGGTCGGGTCGACGTCATTCGTGCCCAGCATGGGGCGGCCGCCGCGGTGAGACCCGACGCGTTGGGCGTCGAAGCGCCAGCGTGGCTCGCGCATGGCGCGTGGGTGGAAGAGAGGTCTCTCGGCGGCTCTTGCCGCGGCGGGTCAAATCCAAGCCGCGGCGAGAGATTCGGAGTTTGGGGGGATGGGTGAATCTGTAGAACTTGAGTGAGGAGATTTGGTGAAGTTCACATGGTCGCTTTGAGGTGTTAAATCTCTTCACCTTTGAGCAGAGTGTGTCGCTTTGCGGGCCAATTGCGGGTTGCAAGATGCTTCAAAAAGCCGTGGAATTATCAGGGACTTCAACCGACAAAGAAGGGCAAATGTGCTGTTCATCTTCCATCACCGGGATTTGCGCTACATTATCGGTCTGACTGTCAGCATGGGCGATCTATCCTCGCTGTCCTCATGGTGAAAAAACAACGCACTGATGTTCAGCTGTGTTTATCCATGCCCCTCTTTGTACTCACTGGCTGCAGGTTTCATTCAGAGATGGATCTACCCACACATGTTCACTCAGTTTTGATGGGTTATTGAGCCATAGCCACCCTCCAAGTCCTTCAAGTACATGACTTCGAAGTTCACGATCCCCCCCCCCGTCCATCCATTTGAACATGTTCTCCGAACCTCTGAAAAACGTTCAAAAGGGGAAGATGAGGATGTCAGGATGTCCTCTGCTGCTTTCAGACCGAAGAAGCACGTCTACTTGAGACTGTCTGCCCTTTGCAGCTCCAGGATCGCATCACGTAGAATCTCGTACTCCTCGCGGTTGCCCCAAAAAGAAACACCTGGGCCTGGTCAGGAATAATTGGAGGGTCAAGAGAGGCTAACCCAAAGCCACAAGCCCAGTGGGCCACCGCCACATGGATACATGGGTCTTCAAAAGAACAAAACACCACGTAGTCACATAAAAGCGGAGAGCTGGCCCTTAGATACTACCTGTACGCCTCTGCAAGCCGTTGGTATTTCCACCGTGCATCATGTCCGTCGTCCGTCGTCGCCGTTGGACCGCCCTCCTCCAAGCACGACGGGTCCGGCCCGTCCTCGAGATGATTGTAGATGTGAGCTGAGATGCCTGAAGTCGTGCAGCCTTCGAAGATGCGCCCCAATCTTTAAGAAAGAAGAAGAAGAAGAAGGCTCCCAAAGCCTTCCAACTGATGCTGGACACCTCTGGATGTTGGGCTTTTTCCCCGAACCGCCCAGGTCGTCACATTTCAAGGTCGACCCAGACGTCGCCAGGGTCGTTTGGGGGTGAACTGTCCATGAAAAAAACCATGTTTTGAAGGCTATCCCCTTCCAAAGGCCTCTGACTGGCGGACAAGGTCCTGACAGCCAAGTGCTGCACACCAAGTCCATCTTTCTTCCGTTTCCTCCCCCGGCAGCGAAGTGAAACATGTCGCACTGTAACCGTCTCACCGGTGGGCTTGGACCACCGGTCTGCAAGGCGTGCCTTGCAGCTTGTGTCTATGTCCCGAGTATGACCGAAGAAGAATAGCTTGAAGTAGCGTGTTCTTGGGGAGAGTAAGCCCCAACTAAAACAAGCAGACTCACCCGCGCCATGATTCACTCCATGCAAAACAAGCGTCGCACATAGAGCTTCCCAGAAAGGGCTTTCACTGGGACTTCGATATTGCGCGTGTAGAGCGCATTCTGAACCGCTTCTGCCTCCTCATAGGTCTGCCTTAGCGACATTGGAGAACGTCCTGTTCCTCAGAGACAGGGGCCCTGGCAGTTTGATCTTTGACTACCTACACGGCCTGGGGAGAGCCTGCATGGTTACGTGCAACACGGCCCTGGAAGGAGGACCATTTTCCGAATACTAAACAGGTGGTGAACTCCACGTAACCGTAACCATGATAATTTCAACCAGTGTAGGTGGGACCAAAGGTTTAGTAATCGAGCAGAGGTGCTTTCTGCTTGAAACCGCATGTGGTGGACATGGAAACGGGTCTCTTTCTCAGAAATCCATTCTCAAGTTGCAGAGTCCACGTCAGACGAACAGAAAAAAGATGTGTGGCAGCAGGATCCTACTCTAGTGACTGGACTTAAGATCCCGAATGCCATCGAAACTCCGTAAGCCTTATTCAATGTTTGCATTGATTCGTGATCCTAAGACTTGACATGTTTCCCCTTCAAAAGGAACCTCTGCCATCACCAAGGGCCTATAGAAAAGCTGCTGCAATCTTTGCGCTTTGAAGACCACAAACAAGATATATGGAAGTGGCAAATCAATACCCCATGAGGTGTGGGATACAAAACAAATATGTGAACCACACTAGCTAACGGCTCAGATCGTGATGAAACAAAGGTCCCCAGATCAACGACGCTTCTGCTAGCCAGACGCTCACCCGTCTGTGCGGCGAAGTCGGGCAAGCGTACCAGCGCCATGGTGCTCAGCACCTCCTCCTCCGGTGCGTAGCGCAGGTCGCGGCACCGGAGGCCGACGAAGATGGGGGCCGTCCCGAGCTCCGCCCTCGGCTTCGTCCCGGCTTCGTCCCTTCACCCGGTCCGGAAGCCCCAGGTCGGTGCCCCAAGCGTCGGCCAGCAGCATGGCCTCGGTGCGCGAAAAGAACGGCGGAGTGCAACGATGGAGACGAAGGGTGGAAGGCGGTGGGACTGATGGTGGCTTGCCCTGATGATGGTAGTCGACCGGGTCCGCAGTCCTTGGCAGTCCTTGGCAGTCGACCGGGGCCCTGTCTAGTCTGTCGATTCATCCATTCATCCATTCCCTCCGGGTTTCCAGCTGGGCACGACTGATCCTCAAAGCAAGGCACTGCATCTCTGACCATGTAGTTGCAGTAGGTCCTGGCAGCATCCAAGCCAACCTCACAACGACGAACCAAACAGAAGATGATGAAGTAGACGAAGTAGAGAGAGAGAGAGAGGAATGAGAGGAAGGAGGAGGGGGGATGGTGAGGGGAGAGGGTGAGAGCCTCTCGAAATCGACTCCGCTTGCGAAAGCGACTCCATTGGGTCGTTGTGCGCGGCACACGGCACAGTCTATTTGGACGATATTTTGCCTGGCTCTTTTGTGACTGGCTCTGTAAAGGAGATCCCTTTTTGGGTCGCTAGTAGGTTGGAAGGTCCACAGGTATCACAGGTGCCGGTCACCTTTCGGCACCACCGCAAACCTGTAGATGAAACCTGTGGTATCCCTCTGTTTTGTAGTGGCCTTGTGGGCACCCATTCTGTCGTGGAAATGAGAAGAATGATGAAGAATGAGGATCCTCTGGTGACCTCAATCCGCCCCAAACCGGGATTCGCGAATCCCTCAATCCGATCCGACACCTCAAGCCCAAGACCTCACCCCCCTCCAAGGTGAGCCAGTGGATCTTCATCGCTCCAAACACCTTCCCCCCCCCGCGCGCCCCGCCCCCCCCGCCCCCGCGCGCGCGGTGTGTTGGCGTGTGGCCAGGTCCCAGAAGGCCATCGCTTCGTCCAGCGCCAGGAAGGAGCTCCAGTCGGCCAGGCCGGGCCAGTAGAAGCCGCTCGGCAGGTCAGACCTGACAAGCGCGTGGACGTGCACGTAGATCCAGACTGTCCGATCCAACGAGTGAGGCGGGTGTGGCGGGTGTGGTGGTTCTGTGTGGTATAGTGGTAGTATGTGGTATAGTACAGTGGTAGCTCCAACTACGGCGGCGCAGTTGCCACGAAGGCATGAACTCCGGAAACGCTGAGTTCGGTGCAGAACTGCCACGGAGAAGCAAACCACCACCACAATCACACATGGTCATACATGGTCCGTGATGATTGGGGTTGAAAAATTGTTGCACTTGACAGTCGTTGGTTGAACAACATCTTCATGAAAGTGGGTTGCTTGAACGATCATAGGGGCGTCTGGTCCAAAAAAACGCCCCCTGCCAGGCTTGGCTTCGTGAGCAGCACAAGTGCCGAGCTGGTTAGGTGGTTCTGACCACTCAAACAGACCGATCTCCACCGGTGACTTGAACCGGTCTACCCCGAGCTCTCCGGTCCAGTGCCTTTCGTCGTCCCCGAGAGAACTGGAAAGGAACGATGTGGACGTGCCGACGTGAACGTTCCTGTTGGTCCCAGCGCTGGCTAGGTAGAATCACATCTCCTGAGCCTCGCCATATTTATAAAGCCTGCGGCTTACTTACTTTCTGTTTTTCTTTCCGTTCCTTTCCTGTCCTTTCCTTTTCTTTTCTTTTCTGTTCTTTTCTTTTCTGTTCTTTTTCTTTTTTCTTTTCTTTTCTTTCTTTCTTCTCTCTCTCTCTCTCTCTCTCTCTCTCTCTTATGTCGCTCACAACACCAAGACCTCCTCCAAACGCCAAAATCGAACATGGCAGAAAAAAAAGGTTCACACGTTCTGGACATGGACATGCGTTCCGGACATCAATGGACATATGTGGATCTTGCAACCCCAAAAGGCATCAAAGTTGCACAGGAACGGATGTTCCAGGTATACCAGCCTCACTGCCAGGTCTGAGGATCCAAGGGTCCTGAAAGAAAACAAACAAAACCCCTTGCGATATCACCCAACTTCACAGGTCCACCACCTACCACCTACCCAAAATTCAATTCAGTCGGGCGTCGGAGATTTGCCAATGCCGGCGGCCTCGACTCCTCGACCTCTACTTGAGGTAGACTCACGATATGACACGGCACTGAGTGAATATGAACAGGTTTTTTTGCGGGTCCGGCTCACTTGAGGATGACCCATCGGTTTCTTTGGGCGTGCCGAGTCCGATGAATCTGTGCCTGCCGAGCGAACGAGCCGAGTGACCCGTTGGCACGGTGCCGAGCGGCCCGTAGCCGTGCGAGATCACTAAGGGCTCCAACCACTCCTGTCTGAAGCCATCCATGATGCAAAGAAAGGAAGGAAGCGGAGGAAGGGGAAAGGGACCAATGGAGAAAGAAAAATGATAACTTTGACAAACAAATGGCTTCTGAAAGCGTCCTGCAGTGGCTCTGAGACGTGCAGCAGCGCGGTGCCCTTGGCGCCACAAAACCACTTGTGGCCTCGGTGTTCGGCAGCCAACAGCTTGCACCAAAACAGCTTGGGGCCTTTTGGGCCGGTCGAAGTTGAGCTGCCAGAAACATCTCCCGGGGCGAATTCAGATCCGATCCAGCGCGCGACCGCGCGACGCGACCGGATTCCACGTGGAGAACCCAAAACCATCCTCCACTCCTGGAGCGCCAGCTTCTTCAGCTTCGGCCAACATGACCTTTGACAGGCCTGAAACAAGGTTCGGGTGACCGGCTGACCTGAACGGGTGATCGGCCGAAGCAGGGCCTGGAAGGGGTGACTTCATCTCAGTTCGGTCACTTTGAAGAAGGACGAAGCCCTTTTCCAACATGGATGGTGCTCGGCCCCCATCCAAGCCACCCCATGACATGGATGGTCACCAAACTAGTTCGATGGTTTCAAGACAAAGGACAATATGAATTGCTACCTCTATTTCTATAGGACTAATTGCTATACACTCCCTGAAACACTCATGGAAGTGCAACATGGCCCCTGGACAGCCCATTTCCTCTACAAACTGGGGGTTGTCCACTTCCATGCTTGTTGGAGGAAGGGTATGTCTACTTATTTCATCTGATTTCATTAAGCCTTTTGCTGTTCTTCATGTGCCACTGGGCTCCGGCCACCCCCTGAGCCCGACCCTCCATGCGCCCACAGCGGCAGTTCGTCATGACGGCATCCACGGGATACTCGCGCCGTGGGCCGGAGAGCTTCAGGGGCCAGCCTGGTAGCAGCTGGCGGAAGTGGTTCGAGCAGCGGAAGAAAGAATAAACGGTCGAGGAAGGTTCGAGCAGGCGTGTTTAATGACCATATGTTATCTATGATATTCTTATAGGAAGGTTCAGGGGATTGGAGTTTTTGGCATGATTCCCTCCCACTTGGTCTTTGACGAAGACAACACTAACACTTCTGGGTGCGGTCTTCAGCTTTCCGAGCACGGTCAAACCCACTTTTGGGTCTTCAACGGGTGTCGACCAGCTCCCACTTCGGTTCAATCCTCCAATCTTGTGCTCACAATCTCCGTCTCAAACCACCAGATGCCATCCCCCCTCTCACTTCCCCCACCAAAAAGCCAAGAGCTGACAGTATATAGAGAGTCCAGTACAGGTGCCAGGTGCACAGCCACTAGCTGAACACCCCACCTTTCTGAAGGTTTAAAGGATCATGAACGAACATGAATCATTGAACCCAAGACGTCTCGGGACCTCCGTGCCGCCACACCCTCTGCGGAGTGCCCAACCGCGCCGAGCGGCCCAACAGCCCGTGGGCTGCATCGAGCAGAAGGAAGGCATCAGGCGCCTCCCACGCGGAGAGGGCGAGTCCAGTCTCTGAACGTGGATGTGAGGATCTTCGTGAGAAGGAACGTTCTCTTTCGCCAAGTGAATCAAACCTCCAGTCTATCGAACGTGGATATCGACGATGCGTCAGGATTCACTCGATGGTACCAGCACCCAGCTTTACAAGTTCACCCACCACCGAGACCTGTCTGTGTTTGTCAGGTCTGCGTCGGGTCTTGGTCTGAAGAACTGTCACAACGAGCGCGCCAAAGAGTCGCTGGCGCCGAAGCTGGTTCAACATGGACTCTTGCTCGTTCATCAGAGCTGGTGCCCACTGACGAAGTAAACTCCGGGTATGAACTGCCGTGGATGCATTGTGTTGTGAACATGCAGAAATATAGAGCGATCCTGAAAAATTGTCTGTCAGTGTGCCCCGAAAAAGAAAGCGTCAACCTTCACGTTGGCTGACATGATCCGGCAAACGGAAACCAACAGCTGCTGTGATCGAAAATTGAAAAAAATGAAAAACAAATAGGTTGGAGTTGGAGGCAACTGCTTCTAGAGGCCATCTCTAGTAGGTTGGAGGCCACTGCTTCTAGGTTGGTGGCCATTGCTTCTAGATGCGCCTATCCCAGGGCCAGTGGCCGGATGGTCTGAGTGCAGTCTGCATAACATCCGCCCCACTCCATCAGTCCCTGTGGCCAAAAACCGCTGGGAAGCGCACTTGAGGGGTTGCTTCCCGTGATGTAGACTGATTCATTAAACTCACCCAATTGGATGCACTCACTTGCAGGCAGGTGCGCATCCACACATACGGGTGTTGGTGGAGATAGTCTGTGAGAAAGAACACGGACACCCACCCAATTGGATTGTAGAACCTCTTCTGTCACAGGGGGGCTTATCAAGAGTCTACAAAATAAAGCTTTGAAACGACAAGAGCCACAGCGATCCGCAAGCTGCAGATCCGAGGACTCAGACCCTCTTGGGGAACTTCTGACCCTCTTGGGGAGATCAGCTTCAGAAGGGTGGCCGTTGTTGCACCCGTCGTTTTTCAAGGTCAGTTACGGAAGATCCTCTCACCTACTAGCACTCTCTCTGTATAGAGAGAGAGAGAGTGTGAGGGTGTGTGTAGTTTCAGAGGTTTGAACCAACGATTTTGGGGAATATGTGTGCGTTTCCCTCAACCGGATCTGTTTCCGTTTCCTCCCCTACTTTCCCCTCTCATTCCGCCCCCACCCCCGTTCACCTTGCTACGGCAGAGCTCGATGGCCTCCGGGGGTAGGACCTGAGAAGATGGGATCTTGCGAGGAAAGAAGGAGGCCTCCGAGGGAAAGGGATCGCAGGAACCACATTGGTTAGAAAAACAACTGCTCTTCCAGGGGGTCTATGTTCCACTTCCACTGCACAGGGAGTCTTCCGGCATCGCCCATCAGTATCAGGTGTCGCCCCACACCACCCTTTGTCCATGCGACCAAATGGCCAGAGTTTCGGACATGTTGTTTTTTTGGTGGGTTTTTAGTAAGCTGGAGTCGTGGTATGTCATGGTTCTGGATGTCTTTTCTTCCAATGTGATCATTGTCGCTGTCCAATCACTCCATGGTCGCTGTCAAATCCCTCCAAACACGCGGCCTCTGTCAGGCCCACCTATGCCAGGTTTGGACATGTGTTCCACCACCTGTGGCCGTCCGATGCATCAAGTCCCAGAATTCGCGTGTTTTCGACCCACCGAAGCTCTCGAAAAAAGAGGCCGCACCCCATGTAGACTCTTGAGCTACATCAACCCACCCCATCGCGGATGCCCTTCTGTTATTGGACCAAGCTCTTCGGTTTTTTTTGGGGGGGGTTGAACTCATCGGCTGAGTCTACGTTCGACATGGGATTTCACGTCTCAACGTCACGCTTCCGGACACACCAGCTGAACCGGACTGAATACATGACAGGACATGACAGGACAGCTTCGGCTGAGTTTGGATGATCTCCCTTGGCAAAAGACCATTTAAAACCATTGTCTTTCGGTGGCCTGAAATGGAATGTCCTTTACTTCGGTGGTGCCAAATTCTGTCGAACTGGACGTTTTAAGGAACTGAAAACTGCTGAAACTGGGTGTTCTTTTGTGAAAAATATCGAAAGCGGGGTTGAAAAACCCCAAAAGACCCGGTTTGTGCCACGGGTCTGCCATGGGGGGATGATGGCTGGAGCCGTGGCACGAAGGGCGCATTCGATGGAATCAGGTCTAGAATCACCAGCGTGGTGTTCGGCTTCAGCACAGAGTCCAAAGACTCCAGGATTTCTGCCTCACCGCGGACGACGAACATGGGCCCATGTAGAAGAACCCGTTGATTCTGAATAGCACCTTGGAGTTCGAGTGAAAAAAATGGAAACCCCTGAAGTCCTACGTACCTGACATCCAACAACAAAAGCGGAACGTGGTGCTGGTTGAATAGCATGAACGAGATTGAGCAGCCCTGTTCTATCGGCACCACTGACTCTAGAATTACCTTAATGAATCAATCATTGAGTTGAAAGGTGCACCCCTCTGTAAACACCTCGGTGCATCCCGAGTGAATCCATATGGTGACTGTGAGGTCTTCAGACCATCACCAATGGCCCAATCGCCGATCAGATCGAAACAATCCCAAGCGGTTCCCAAGCGGTTCCCAAGGGTACCAAGAGAGGTTGAACAGCCCTTTGTCGCGCATCCCATATGTACCTCTCAACCTCTCTTGCTAGGCGAACCTGCTGCTCCTCTTTCTCTCGCAGGAACTGCCGAAGCGCTGCTGCCGAAGCACTTCATCCGTGAGCGGGAACGTCAATGGAGCTTCATCGACCTCTGGCGAAAAGCAGAAACGCGCTGGGGCCAAGCCGAGGCCACCAGAGGACTCGTTGGGGACATCAAGAAACCATGAAGATTTCCAAGTTGTTTCACGATATGTACTATATACTATATACTATATACTAGATACTAGATACTATATACTAGATACTAGATACTATATCTACATATATATATATGTGATGTTTAAATACATGGGGACCACATGAATGTCTAGAAACACTCAAAGTGCCCCAAAGTCTCACTGAGGGCCATGCATATAGTAACCTCTCAAACCCACGATGTTCATAGCAAACAAAGAACTGTTAACACTTCATACCATGCGTTTGGTAGAGAATGAAATGGAAAGCGTAAAATTGCTGGGGTTTGTTGCGCCTATCTCTCTGCGGTGCTGGCAGGGTAAGACGTCCAGCTCCATGGCCGAAACAAAAGTCGGTCAAAACCACTGACAGTGCAACTGCCTGGGGTCCAACTCACATGCGTTTAAGGTGAAGCCACCCACCGCGTGAGTCAGCAACTGCTTGCAACAGCACTTTGATTCCAACCAACCCCGGGTCGGTTACGACACATGACACGGACCAAAAGATCGACCGCTTGAAGGTCCTCAACCCCCTCGATCGCCGGAAAAAGAAAAAAAAGTACCCCCAACACACGAAAACAGAAGCGTTTGATCTTGTACAGTGCAGACATAGTCCACAGTTTTTTGTGCAAATTGGCCTAGTAGAAAGCGCCCCTACCTTTTTTTTTGACTATCCATTTATACATATTATGTATATATGTAAATATATATATCACTAACTATATAACTAATCAATATCACTACATGTAATATATGTATATATATAAATACCATATATCACCACATATATATATATATACATATCTACAGTTCATATATTCCTGTCTCTTGCAGTTTTATTTATCCCTCTTGATCCTCGCCGCCTCGCCTGGAAGCCCGACTCTTCGGCCAGCTTCCGGACCAGCTTCTTCGTCGAGCCGTAGGTCACCGACATCATGGCCACGCCTCAGGACGACCCACGGTGCAAGGCACCGGGAGCTGCGTATTTCTTGCTGGCAAGTTGAGGATTTTCTGTACAGGACTTGAACCATTGGAAGGGACCGTTGAAAAGTGTGATTGGACGAGGTTTTGAAGGTGTAAAGCCCTTGGTAGAACAATGGTGGGCCACGAAACTTTTCAGCTATAGAATCAATGGTGGGCCAGGAAGCCTAGGCTAGAATGATGGGAATCCTACTTGGTTTGGTCAGTTCCACGGGGTCAGGTGGCTATCGGGAGGCATGAATGCACTGCAAATAGCAGCGAATTAGCCGCACACATCGGTGCGACACCTCGATTAGACACCGGTGCTTAACTATTGCCATAAGAACCCCTAGTGTGTCCACACTGTTTGGGGGATGAGTTCGCAACAAGGTTTAGAAGGCTATCGCTGGTAGGTTAGAGGCCGTCGCTAGTAGGGTGGAGGCCATCGCTCTGCGGTTGGAGGCCATTATTTCTGTGGAGTTGGTTTGCCTTGCGTTGTTAGAAGGATTGAGATCTGTTGCGGATACAAAGCTGGGCCGAAGTGGATGAAAACGACAACGACATGTTGTCTATTTTGCTTGCTTCAGGATACCCGCATATAAGGACAAATCTGCCAGGCTTTGGATGGCTGAGATTTTGTCTTTGATCCTTCAGGGTCCTTTCCTTGGCCTGATTCCAAAAGCTGAGCTGTTCTTGTTCTTTTCCCCACCCCCATGCAATCAGCAGCACCTGCACATGCGAAAGACTCATCAGCTGTTGGGATTCCTGGCCCACCCAGCAGCATTTCGACTGTGCAAGCTCGCAGAATCTGCGTGGGCGCGGCGGGCGCTTGTCGCGACTGCGCTCTCGTTGTGGTGCCGTGCGCAGTTTTGGGCATGGTGGTCACTTGTCGTGACACGCGCAAGGGATCGAAGCGGTTTTACTTCGAAATGCAGATTTCGTGGGTCGTTTTCAAATGTTTTCAGAAATCGGGGGAAGTCTCATGCGAAAGCTGCGTTTTGGTACCTTGATGTTGTCGTTGGAAGCACTCTTGCGGCAAAACGCCTTATCAGGACTGTCGCATGTGAACCTTGAAGTGCAGATTTCATGGCAGGCACAGCACTTTGTGAACCTTGAAGTGTAGATTTCGTGGCAGGCACAGCACTTTGTGAACCTTGAAGTGCAGATTCCGTGGCAGGCACAGCACTTTGTGAACCTCGAAGTGCAGATTTCGTGGCAGGAACTGCACTTTGTGAACCTCGAAGTGCGGATTTCGTGGCATGCACAACACTTTGTGAACCTCGAAGTGCAGATATGCACAACACATTGTGAACCTCGAAGTGCAGATATGTGAGAGTGAGCTGTGAGAGTGAGCATCTGAGAGCACAAAGTCCTGCACCTGCCTCAAAATCTGCACTCTGAGGGTCACAAAGTGCTGCGCCTGCCACGAAATCATTCTGCACTTCGAGGTACACAAAGTGCCGCGCCAGCCTTCTCATCTCACTCACGCTCACACACACGCGACGCTCACGCTCATGCTCAAACTCACTCTAACTCACTCTCACTCACACTCACACTCTCACACTCTCACACTCACCCCCTCACTCCCTCACTCCCTCACTCCCTCACTCACTCACTCACTCACTCACCACCGCCATCACCACGATCTCCACTTTTATCACCACCATCACCTCTCTGGACCCCAATGCGTCTTGATCTCTAGACTTTCTGCTGCTGCACCTCTAGACCTCTCACACACACTGTTTGGGGTCTCTTGCCGGGATAATTCCATGTATCTTTACTTAAGAATTTGTGAGGGTTCTTTCCAAGAGAAGCCAATGACCAGTTCGCTGCCCAAGAAAGCTGCCTCTCGCCTCCGAAAAACCCTCCCAACAAGTTCGTCCAAGTGAGCAGTCCTTCATCTGCGATGGACTGCATCCATCCCAATGTCACTCACATGAATGGGCCCCAAGTCACTCACTCCAAGTCCACCATCCACTCCACAGGAGGTCGACGCTCAGGTCTCCGTCCTCGCACACCGCCGCTTCGCCCTCGTCGCTTTGGTTCGGTCCTCCGAGCGGCGCTGGGTGGCATCGGGCCGCTGGTGCCGCTGCCAGCTGCGCAGCAGCGCGTTGCAGGCCACGGTCACGGAGGGCACAGGCAGGAGCTGCTCGGGCGGAGTCTTCAACACCTCGGGCTTTTGCGCGGGCGAAGCGCTGCGCTCCGAAGAAATCGGAAAGGAAGGAACGATGTCCGACTTTCCGCGGGAAGAAGTCGAAGGCGGTCAGTGCTTCATGAACATTTGCACCCTGAAGCAAAAGGATCGGTTTCCGGTTCTGTTGGAGGTGGAAATCTTCCAAAAGACCTGTAGATTTGGTGGGAATCTCTTCAGGCTCAAGGCCATCACAAGGACCACCGTCATCGCCATCGAAGGCGGATCATGGGACTCGATGATCCCAGTCTGGGAGGCCTCTTTTCGTGGAAGGCCTTTGGAGAGAAACACCGTGACATCACCGTACCCGCCATGCTCATCAGTCCCCCAAATGGAGTGTCCCTCCGTACCCGCCGAAGTCTCGCTTTCGCGCTTTCAAGTTGGGGGTGCGTCCCTGTGCCACCGTGTCTCTTGGATCTTCCAAGAAAAAGAACTAAAGCTGAAGCTGTCCATGTGTCCGCAAACCCCAAACGAAGGGTCTCCACCCCGTTCTCCGCCTGGGCTAGGCCTCGAGTGACGTGAACCAGCCAGGGAAAAGCTTCTCCTCGGCCGCGGCCAGTTCCAACCGAAGACCACGGAGGGAGAGGGGAACGGAAACGTCCAACTTGGGCCGGGTGGGGAAACTGGTCGGGGCATCTGGCGAGCTTGGGGTTTCCACATCTTGCGCTAAGAACGGCATGTGGATGCGAGAGGCTTTGGTGGAGTTTTACAACTATATAGGTGCTTCATACCAGAACCATCCAAGGGGGGTCCAATGCATCAGTGGGTTCCCCCTATGGGTGACCCCTTTGGTCGTAGATGCTTGGTCAACAGAACAAGTCAGGACATTGCGAGGACACCCAAATTCTGCCCAAACATCCTACATGGGTCTGACCAGAAGCTGATGGTGTGCTACCAAACTGCAGGTCAAATGGCTATGGAAAAAACAGGTATCCTCCCAACCCCCTGGTAAAAAAGGAAAGTACTCTCAAATCTGCGGGTTGCAGGGTGGTATTTCTTGAGGCACAGCCATAGCCAGATCGTCTTGGATCCGCAAATCAAGCGAGCCAATTTAACGATCCGGAATCAAAGGAAACCAAAGAGCTCCACTACATGGTTCCAATTGACTTTCCGACCTTCCAAACAGTTTCAAGATGCTTTAAGAATAGAAATTGCAAGGGATAGGGATCAACAAAACTGCCCAAACCTTCTACTCCAAAACCTTCTCTTCTGCGACCTTTTCACCGCCCGGTCTGTGCCACCGTGTCTCGGTCGTAGAAGCGCACGGGTTGCCGCTCGATGTATTCTGCCCATTGGCGTTTGCTGTCGAGGCAGCTTTTCAGCGTGGCACCAAAGGCACCATGGTTCAGGAAGGTGATGCCATCCTCGAGGCTTCAGTCGCTTCCGTCCGGCTTTCGTCCGGCCTGATGATAATCCGACTTGTGTCAGGTGAGTCCATGAGGGGTCCGACTGGCTTTGGCTCTTTTTGAAGTGCAACTGCCAGCTCCGCTCCGGGAAGTGCCCCCGGCTTACGAAAAAGCACTGTCAGGCTCCGTTTCATGGTGGAGCCTGTAAATTTCGGGGCAAATCTCCTTTGCTTCACCCCATTCCATCAGCCACCCCCTGTGGCTCCAGGTATACCTTTTTTGTCCTCGTCGAAGCATACCAGGCCACATGAGCAGCTATATACATATATCTACCTGGAACCCCAATCAACCAGAAACAATTGGATGTTCCAATATGGCAATGAAGGTCCTTTACATAGCAAATGGTCGTTTGTAGAAACATCCATTAATTTCTGGTTGTTTGGGGTTCCAGATATACATGTGTTTTTTTCTACATCCTTTTCGATAACACACCACCCACTTGCATCCAAAACACCTTCCAAGAACGAAGAAAAAGAAGAAGGAAGAGGTCCGGAGCTTCAATCATCCGACCCGCCCTGGCCCCCAACCTGCTTTGTTCACTTCTGGACCGTCGAAGCCCGAAGAAGCCCGCCTCCAGCAGGAAGTGCTTCCGCGCTTCTGCACCGAAGTGGCCACTCGGACCTGCCGGACGAGTCCGGAGCGTCGGAGCGTTCGGACGCGACGCGACTCGTTCGGGGCACTCCTGGCCTTGCTAGGAACAAGAGGACGCTGCTGAACCATTGGACCAAAGATCCAGATACAGAAGAGCACGTACGGCAGAAGCATCTTGGCACTCAAACTCTTGAAGTATCGTTGTCAGGTGGGGAAAGTATCCACAAATGCTCATCATTGAACAGAAAGGACTCTTCCCAAGCCATGTCTGATTGGATTGGCGGGTGTATGTCCGATAGTAGGTTTGGTGTAATCCTATCCCGATATACCTCCTGAATGGATCCTTAAAACTCACAAAGCACCTTGGCTTCATGATAAAAGGACTGCCTCTCAACGTTTCTTCTTCTTCTTCTTCCTTTGGACACCTTCCAGTCTATTCTGAGAGTGCTTCTCCTCGCGTCCGCCGGGCACCTTCGGAACTGATGCCTTCATCAAGTTCAGGCCCCCCAAAACCATCCAAAATGATCCAACACCATGTCCTCTCCGAGTCCTGGACTTCAAAGAGGACTTCATTCACCACCTGGAAGTGGTCAAAGAGAACCTGGCCTACATTGGGCCTACATGGCCATTTCCTCTTCAGAACCCCAATGCATCGCCCAATCCTCCGTGCCTCAGGAGCGACCGCTGGGAGCCAAGCCCAGACTTCCCGGGTCCTCCGACGGCAACGGGAAAGGCCTGCGCGACGAGGGCGCGTCTGCCGTCGGCGGCGCGTGAACCCGGGAGGAGGGC